ATATATATATATATATATATATATATATATATATATATACACTATACAATTTTGAAAAATCGTACTATGTATATCGTGTTTTATGCATCAAACATCAAACGTGAAAAATCGCAACACCGATCGAATACCGATTCTTAATCGGTAATTTTTCAAAGACATTTTTGAAATTTCAAAGACATTTCGAATATTTCTACGTTTTGAACAGCGCAGGTGTTTTTCAAAAAGACAAATGCAGTACCTTCCTCCGTGCTGCGTTTCTACAGTAGCGCAGCGGTTGCATTTTCGGCAGGAAATGCCTTGATCGTTTTTGTTCGTGACCGGCTGAATACGACGATGACGGAGAGACGCGAGCTTGCAACTTCAGCGGGGCTTAACCTCGGCCTCACCTACATTTTCGACTATGGCGTCGCCCATTCTCGTATCGCCAATGCCAGCCGTCCGCAGGACGTTTCTCGAGGCCGCCCCCACCGTCCCTCGGGGATCTGGCAAAAAGATAAGGGAGCAGCGGGATACGGGGGTGCGCGCAATTCATCATCCCCGATCGGCCGAGAGACCCGGGGCCGAAGCCCATTCAGCGATTGTACGGCACGATCAGCGTCGCGTGTGCCTGCGCATTTTAACGCGTGAGAGTTGCTGTAGGTCGTAACTCCGACGTTTACCGGCAGCCGATTTTTATTGTGACTTGGCCCGTGAAATCAGAATATTCTGTGCTCGTGTAGGTAGCAGAACGGAACCTGGATTTTCTCATACCGCAATTAATCTAGAACCGAAAAGAAAAAAATTCACTCTGTTCTAAGGGACGAAAATTCTTTCCTAACGTAACGGATGATTGAACGTATTTTCCAGTAATATTTTTTTTAAACGATTCATCTGAAAACGTCTTTTACTTTAGTAATACGCAAACTTTCAATAAAGTAATGAGATAAAATTGATGGAATTGTATTCTTGAATTTTTCAGGATATCGAAATTATCGAGAACAACGGATGACTTTATTTTACCTTGAAGTAGTAGGCATTAAATTAAATACAAAACAAAATAGACAGAGAAGAATAAAGAGAAAAATAAAGAAAAATTACAGCTGCTTCTTGTACTGAACGAGAGGATACATCAGACATAATTAAACAAGCGTATATATATATATATACACAATATTGATTTTCAAGTAATCTTCTGATTCCGGTTTTCATACTTGATCCCTCACGAACGGATCGAAATTCCAATAGAATCCCAGAATCTAAAAGAAATAGGAACCAAGAGCCGGAGAGAATGTAATATAGGATACACACAGGCAGAGGACGATCGCATGCGCATCGCAATGCAAAATTTGTCGAAGCATAATAGCGGCGAGTGATGAACACGTAGTCTCTCTAATTCGGTTAACACCGGCGCGTTTCCGGTGCGGGGTATAATACCTATTTACCATGACCCCGGCCGCACACAACGGAGCGGAGACACCGCGCGTCGCGAAATCGTGCGCGTGCGAATGTGTCATTTCTCATGGATACTTGTATCCTACCCCCCCCCTCCGCCCTCCCCCTCCCCCTCGCGAGGGCGAGGGTAGAACACGGCGGGAGTATCACGATGCGAAAATAACGACCGGCCGGCCGGCCGGCCCCGACCGGGGGCACGCGTACAAATCCCGATGCAAATATTATCCCTGTCTATTTCGCACGCGTACACAGATACGCCCGTATGCACGCGTATTTGCGTGAAAACTACCGAGCAATGGTATATTCCGAAGCCGGTATTCTCCATCCCGTGCGCCGAGAAATCGCCGGCGACATCCCTTCGTGCGAGCGCCGTGGTGGTTTGGCCGGCCACCATTGTGCACGATCTGCATAATGCGCCATCCCGCCGGCTGCGCCGTCGCCATTTACTTTTCTCCTCGCATAAGAAATATCAAGATAAAAAGAACGAATGGGCGTTTTCTCTTTCTTTCTCTCTCTCTCTTGTTTTTTTTCTCTCTTTCTTTCTTTTCATCGACGATCCGCTGTAATAACATTTTCATGAAATTTGAGATAGATTTCTTTTTTTACTTTAACGTTAAACGTTGCAAGGAATGCAAAGCCATCAACCATTGATGTTTTTT